CGCTCCCGCCGCGGGGCCCGCGCGCTCCGGCGGCGCCCAGGGACCCCCGGGCGAGATTTACGCTGCGCGTAACGTGCCCCATACGGAATTTAACGTATTTTTCCGCGTTCCCCGCGGTAACTAGCGAGAAAGTAGGATTTGGGGGGCGCCTGGCCTGCGCCGCGGCCGGCGCCGGCCTCTGGGGGGGTCCCGTAGGGGACCCGGCGTAAAAAAAACGCTCCCGCCGCGGGGCCCGCGCGCTCCGGCGGCGCCCAGGGACCCCCGGGCGAGATTTACGCTGCGCGTAACGTGCCCCATACGGAATTTAACGTATTTTTCCGCGTTCCCCGCGGTAACTAGCGAGAAAGTAGGATTTGGGGGGCGCCTGGCCTGCGCCGCGGCCGGCGCCGGCCTCTGGGGGGGTCCCGTAGGGGACCTGCAGTGACAAGGCGGGCAGGTCCCTCCCCAGGGGATCTGCTCTGGACAGCCCAGAGCGCAGCTCCTTGAGGACAAGCGCTCGTTCCCGCCTGCATCCGTGCCCGCTGCCAGGGCAGGGCGGGATCCCCCTTCTTTGAAATACGCGGCGATCGCTTTCTCATTCTTTTTTCCCCTACTTTCAGTTCAATTGTTACACTTTTTTATTTCCCAGTATTTTTTATTCTTCTAAAAACTGGGCTCCAAGCAGTACTACAGAAACGCCGCAGCTGTAGCACTACGGTCTTACCACCACGTAAGACGTCAGATAAAGATGAGCAGCACACGCTTAACCTTTGAGAAAGATGCCGTGGCTTTTGAGGCTGGTGCTCCAATACAGACACCTTGAAACTGTTACTTTTTTCTGTCGTGAATCTTGATGTCAGACTCTCTGTTCGTGTTTTTGTACATCGTACCTTAAAAAGCTGTTCCTGGAGTGTAACAGTAGCTGTGAGAATCTCCCACCTCGTGAAGGTTTCCAGCACCCCACTATTTTAATTTTAGAAGAACACCAGATCTTTTGTTATTTCAGTCCCCCGGAAACTCAGAATCAGAAGAAAAAAAAATTAACCATAGAAGCCTTCATAAACGTTAATTGCATTTTCCTTTCATAGTCTCCAGAATAGATTTTGATCTTGCTTTTAGAATAATATTGCCCTCTTGTGGTCAAACAACAGTAAGTCCGGGAACTATTAAAGGTCTGCTTGCACGTCATTCAAACATGCTTAATTATTTTATGTGCATATATGATTTAGTGAAACAAAAGTCTTTTCTGAGATTACTTGCTCTTACTGTTTGCTTACTAGATTTCACCGTTACAGGTTTAGACATCTAGCCCGATTCACCCTTTCACGCTGTGATGGGATTGGCTCATCAGAATGATTCACCGATTTTTACTTTGAAACGGAGACAAGATTTTCACACGGGAGTCTAGGGATACTCAACAAAAGACGCCTTCGTTACTTCCGAGGGTCTCAGACTCAGCTACCCCACTGCAGGTCAGTTCAAAATCTACAATTGATTTTCGTGTGATGAGAGATTTTAGAGAAGCGCAGAACGGCATGCCTCTTGCACACTGTAAATTGCATGATCAAAGCCTGGATTATCTCATGTGGGCCCTGAAGGTGACTCACCAATACCATCATAAGACAATTTACTTCAAAACACCTACAATACTTAGCTAAGTTTTAGAGTTGTATAACACCGTGGGTTGTTGATTTGATATTTTGTCACTCCCTTTTTATTCTTTCTTCTGCCTTTCTTCCTAATAGTTGGAACTTAGTTTGTCAGTTTATACCAAGCTGGAATTTATCTGGCAGGATAATTGGATCTCCTAGCAAAATGTCACATTAAGTAGGAATTACGGATAATGCCCCTGCAAAACTAGTTAATGGAAAAAAATGTTTAATTGCTGCTTGAGTGGTATTGATCAAATGCAGTCATTCTACCTATGCATTTCTATATTAGATACCACCATAACCTGCACAACACAGACAGACCCGTGCTTGCTCAGATGGGTGGACGTGAATTTCAGAGAGGTGCTTCTGGAAACAACACTGCTCAGGTGAATATATTTCTGTTGGACTCTGCCGGGAGCGATGATTCTCGGTGGGTAACGGTTATGACTGAAGGTTTGTGTGGAGGACTTGTATCCTACAACCTGGCATCTCTTTATGGGCTCTTGAAACTAAGCATGATGCTCTGGAGCATCGAACCCTGTCCCTGCTGTTACAACATGGAGTCACAGAAGTGTGGGGAGAAGGAACCTCTGGAGCTGCCTGCTCCACCCTCCTGCTCGGTGCAGGACTATCACCAGTGCCAGATCAGCTTGGCCGTGGCTTTGTCTAGCCAAATCCTGAAAACCACCTAGCATGGAGACCACACCTTCTCTGAGTGGCCTGATCCAGTCAGTGCTGTGCGACCCTCTCTATAAAGAACTTTTTGCTCATGTCCAATGTGAACATCCTGACTTGCAAATTGTGGCCATTGCTCCTTCTTATACTTTCTGCCGCTACCAAGAAGGGTTCATCTCCGCTGTCTTTATAACCACCCTTCAAGTAGTTGTAGCTGCTATTAGGTTGCTCCTTAGTTGGTTGCAACACTTGGTTTCCAGCCCGCCCTGATGCATGGGGATCCTGCCCCCGCAGCAAAACTTCACATTTCTCCTTGCTGAGCGTCATGAGGTTTCTGTTCTGTTGGCCCTGACCTTGAGTTTATCATGGTTCCTCTGGAAGGTGGCTCCGTCAGCATTTCCCCCAAATTAGGCACTCTGCGCTACCCTCCAGGTCACTAATGAAGCCGTAGGGTGACACGAACCCCAACAGAGTCCCTGTTGATTACCAGCTGTCAAATGGACTCTGAGCCACTGATTTCTACCCTCTGAGCCCAGTGGTCAAGCTGTTTTTCAGTGAGTCTGTGTGTTTGCCCAGCCCACACTTCTTCAGGGTGCTCAAGAGAATGGTGTCAAAAACCTCACTAAAGTCAAGGTAGATTACATCTGCCGCTTTCCGCTTTCCCCATAGCCTCTTGTCTCAGCCTAGAGGGCAGCCGTAATTGTCATCCTCTGACTGATTAATATTCCTGGCTCTTTCTCCTCTTATGTTATTTCCAACCGAGGAGCTCATAATTTTTTGCTATTAATCCCAAAGAGCATGACCTCGTATTCTGCAGTACTGAATTTCGACCCCTTTCTATTAGTCCAGTCCTCAAGGCTGGCAACTTTTCATCTTCTCTAAAATACTATGATCCTTCCCTGTATTTTAAATGACTCTCAACTTTGATTGCAAGTTGACTCAGAATAGGGAGTTTGAGAAATTACAGTATGAAAGGAAGTAGACTTGGCGTGGACTTGGCTTCAGGGTAGTACTGTTCTGCGTTGAGCTACAGAAGGATTTTTTAGTGAAAAATTTTTCTTCCCTGCAATCCCCAGTGCATGGGAAAATCATTTCCAAAAGGTATATAGGGAGTGAAAGGAGTGTGACCTAGAAAAACTAGTAAGATGTATATGTCAAATCCAGTTAATTTTTTTACTAATGATACTGATCTATATATATAAAACGCTGAACAGAACACTTATCTTCCCTGTGTTTGGCCTTAGGCTACATTCCCCATCAAAGGCAGAGAGACCCTGTTGTCACTTTCCTGGTGAGTAAATCAGTCATGAGAGCAACATATTTCTTTTCCGAGAAACATATAGAAAGCCATGTATTGGAAATTAGGACTCCTGGGTTTCCCAGAGCTCAGCATATTCTTGAAACAAAGGTATTCAGACTCCATCCTACTTTCTCCCTTGCCTGCCTGGAGAACCCTCTGTGCAGCTCTCTGGTCTCATCGTACTGCTTCTGTCCACCATCGTCTTCTTTCCCAGTTACGGATGCAGGAGCACCACGGTGAGCCCGGGCAAAAGGACCTTTCACCCTGTCCCTGCGCACCCACTTGTGTACTGGACCCTTCGTAGCTGACCAGTGATGAGTTGGTCCATCCTAGCTGCAGACATTTTCTCTTTTACAAAATGTGAATGAGGCCGTGCGGTAATTTTATGTAAATCCATGTGCAGATTAAAAAATTAATCAAATTCTGAAATTTTCATTTAAAGAGATTAGTCTTGAAAAATCCCTCATCTAATCCTCCCAGAACAGTCACTTGGAACAAACCTTCACCGCTTTGTTTTCCTCCTGGGTTCAGTGCATCTCCTGGAAAATTTTCTCATTATGCTTTTGGGACCATCTGGAGCAGCAAGTTTGAGTTTGAGCAGGGCTCACCAGCCGAATTAAAGTTGATATATCAAATGATAGAAAAGATGTGTCAGTAAGTGGGAACATGGGAGTTTAAGGCAGTAAAATCTCCGCTCTGTTGTACTTCACAGGTAAACTCCCATGGTAATGCATGAAAAATGGAAGCGGTAAGCCTCGGTGAGTGTAACGGTAATTTACGTACCAAGAGGCCAGAAGAAAGTCATGTAGCAAGAAAAATGAGCAGCAAGAGACACTGCGAAAACTTGCTGTGTCTGGTAGTTTACTGCTGTAACAAAGATGTAATCTGTCTTTCAGAGCTTGAGCTCAAAATTATCCTCAAACAATTGGGGTTTGATCCAGTGCCATCTCAAATTTTTTCCAAGCCCCTCAGGGATTTGGGAGTTGACCCTGTACACGGTGGGCCAGCCACCAATCACTGCCACACCAGGGGAAATCCAGAGAAGTCACGATGACATTAAAAATAAACTAACTTAGGCCCATGAAGATCTCAGTTAAATTAGCCATCCTGGAGCATTAATACATAGTACCCTCCGATCTTGCAGCACCTGAAGTGCTCGGGATGTGTGATTGCATTGGCCTGCAACAAGCCCAATTGCCCCAACTTCAAGAAGACCACAAGCCCGTGATGCAAACCCTTGAACAAACCTCCAACCACAGCACCTGGGATAGCTCAGCTCTGCCCAGCGATGGCAGCCTGGCCCCTAAAAGGGAATATTTTTCTGGCTTTCAAGTACCTGCCATGGAGTGAGGTGCTGGCTCATTTTTCTCACTGCACGGGCTTGGCCAGCTCATTTGTTCACTGTTTTCCTCCCCAGTGTGACTCCAAGTTTATGGCTCAGACTATACCCCCCTATGTCCATGCTTTTGGTCTCATGCCACCATCCAATTTACCTGGCAGCTTACCCCATTTCTGCCCCTAGTGCTGGATTGTTTCTGTCTCCCTCTGACTTTGGCTCCTTGCCTGCAGAATTGCTTTAATTAAAAAGTTAATGAAAGGTAATGCAAACGAGCGCTTTGCCTGTATTTTATCACAGTCCAGCTCCTCTCCCTTCCTCTTTCCCAGAGATGGTGAAAATGAGGAGCTAGGGTTTTGCTGCTTTTTGTTGTGAAAGTTAACCGTGGAAATTTCTGCAGGCTTAGGAGGAGCCCTATGAAGAAAGAGCTTATAATGGTAATGCACGCCAACAAGTATGTAGATCGTGAACATCATTCATCAATGAAAGCTGAGGAAGTTTTCATTTAAAGGGGATTAATGTAAACCCCTTACAGTCCTCCTGCTCTCTTTGGAACAGGCAATTCTTAGCATCATTTTCCTCCTAAGCTTAGTGCAAACTTCTAGAAAACTTTCCAAAAGACTATCTATACCCCAACTCCAAATTATCCCAAGCAGGGACAAAGGTAAGGTGTAAAACCCGAGCCCCACTGCTGCCTATAGCATGTCACCTTATACCCATATAGAAGAGGGCTTGTTCATCCCTATGTGATTTCCCTGAGAAACTGGGAGACAAAGATTAGTGCATGAAGCAATATGAGTCACATCATCAGCCCCTTCTCCCAGCCCAGATTCCTCCTAGCCAGCAATGGGAAGAGGAAAACGCAGGCATGTGAGGATGTAATTTCCCCACATGCAATACGCAGCAGCTAACTGGCAATGAC